ACTAAAATGTTCTGACTATTGATATCCCTCAGCAAAAGTAATCTTTCTTTTCTCTGAAATCAACATTTGATATGTATTTACTTATTTTATGGCCCTCCTTTGATTTCTTGAAATTTATTTATATGTGTATAAATATTCTTGCTGCTACTGGAATTTGCAGAAATTTCAGGGTATATTGTAAAACCTGTGTTATGGCCCACATCACATTGTAGCAATCAATGATACATTCAAGATTAAAGTCAAATCTCAGGAAAGCCACATATTTTAAATACTCAGTGATGTGAAATTGTATTGATTTGGTCCCAAGAGCTTATTTCTGAAGAAAGTGAATTTATTTTCTTTATGATAAGTTCTAGGAGTATTTGGTAAATCAGAATATTTCATTTCTATCAGTTGAGAAAATGGTTTCTTATATTTTGCTATTCCTAGCACATCATTTGTTTCCTCACACCAAGATAAGAAAGGTTGCAGCATGTGTTTATTTTGTTTTTGAGCATAATGGTTAATGGCTTTTTCTGCTCTCAGAATTTTTTAAGCCATTAATTTTATCTGAGCCATTTTTGCAGTCCATACCTGCCTGCATACTAATTATGTAAATGTCTCTTACAACCACATCTCCTTACTAGCCCAAATCAGTTCATTCCTCCCCTATCACACTTATTCAGGCTCAGTGCCCTCTTCTATTAATTACCTCAGTGACAAGTTGACAAAATACAATGCTTTACTTCTATCATTTATTTCTCATGGTAAAGAAATGACACAGCGGATTTAGATCCTTATTTTAGCCATCAGTTAATCACGGGTATGTAGGCTCTAAAATAGTTCAGAGGTATTTATTGTTCAGCTTCTGTTGCATGCATGGATTCCATTAACAGAATGAATTCACAAGTATTCAGGTAAGATATATCCGGTACAAACTTAATTCTTTTCTGTTAAATTACATTGTATCTCAACTATAAAAGTTGATTAGGATTAAGTCAATACTTTCATAACAAAACTGCCTCTATAAATAGATGTGATATGATTACTAGGGTTGAAATTATTAAAATAGAAAAGAAGCTATAGCACTCTGAACTGTTCTCAAAAATTTATATATACCAATCCTATATTTCAATATGTAACTCATATATTTTATCTAACCTCTATTGTCCAGATTTTGTAAAGCAGCAACTAGAGACTATCCTCTTCCCAGTTTTTCCCAGGGGATCTTGGGTTCTCAGTCAAAAAGTACTTTGACTTTCCTAGTATAGAGTGAAGACTGAATAAATACCTATGCCTCTCTACCAAGATTCCACTAAAATGAGAATAAAGACATAAAAATTGTATAAATCTTCAATTAAGAAGAGAAGGAATGGAAGGCAAGCATCAATAAGCAAGATTTCAATAAATTTCTCATGGGCAGGAAGAAGAGTAATGGTAACCAATATAGTAGATCAGAGAAATGCTTATCCTAGAGTATGTGAAGAATAGGATATAATCAAGAAAGGGCAAGTCACTGTGGCAAAAACTCAGTCTCTTGGTGCTCAGACTAGCCAGACACTAAGTAGAGTAAGAATGAAACCTGGGGCTGCAAATATTGGGATTAACTTAATGACCATATATCATAGATCTGAAATAATTTATATATATACTTGTCCTCTAGAATTTCTGCATGCCTGGCCAGGTAAGAAGTACAAAGGCTTCTAATTTTGGCATTTGGTATTCCTCATCAGTAGCAAAGCTCACTCAGTGAAAAGCCCCATGCTGAACTCAGAGTTGTCAAACACATTTTTTTGCCCCTTGAAAAGAAGAAAAAATTGTATCAATAGAACTATATGTTCAGTTGAACTATATGTTCAATCCATAAAGCAAGAATTGGCTACTATGAAAAAAAACAAAACAAAAAACAGAAAACATGGAAGAAATCCCCCAGAATTAAAAATAAATGGCTGAAAAGATATTTTATTAGATTTTTTGAAAAATAATTTTGACAAACCATTGAAAATCATGAGAAAGAGAGAAATATGAGTGAAAGATCAATTCAAAGGGTCCAGTGTAATCTTAATAAATGTTTTATTTTAAAAAACAGAGCAAATAGAAGGAAAAATCAAAACAAAAATACATAAGAATTACAAAAACTAAAGTGCATGAGTGTTCAGAATAAACGTGTCCATCAATTTTACCTGACAAAAAAATTCATGAAATTGCAGACTATTAAATATTATAAAAAAGAAGACTCTAAATTCTTCCAAAGAACAAAGCAGGAACCCTTGCCTTGAGTAATGGTTGACTAAATTTATGTGGAGCAAACTTTTTATAAAAATAACCAAAGTAGTCTGAATAAATAAATTAAAATATACATATATTGTAAGACCTAAATGGATAGTAAGGAGTTAGACTGAATTTTAAAATAAATAAATCATACCAAATGGCAGATGACCAACAAAAATAGGTGAAACATGAATAGACATTTTACAAAAGAAGAACTCCAAATGGTAGTGCACATATGAAAAGTACTTCACTATATAAGTAATCAGGGAATTTAATATTATTATATGTCTGGTGATTTTAAAATATGCCTGCAAATTCTTTTATATTCCTGCCCCTCAGTGGTAGGGATTTATAACTCTACTCTTCAATCTGGCCTGGTTTGTGACTACTGAAATAGAGTATGGCAAAAGTGATGCTGTGTTTTCCAAAGGTAGATAATAAAATGCCAGGAAGTTTCCAGGTTGTTTGCTGGAACACTGGTTCTCAGAGCCTTTAACCTCCATAAAGAAGTTGGACTGCCCTGATACTGCCATGTTGTGTGGGATTCCAAAACACATACAGGAGAGACTACTTATATAGGTGCTTTGGCCAAGTCCCAACTGAGCCCAACATTTGTGTCATTTCAGCACAGATGCTTTACATGTAAGTGAAGAAGCTAACATATGATTCCAGCCCTAAGCTGGTTAACCTGCTCTGGGCTGGTTGAGTCTTTTCAGCTGAGTCTCCAGACATCATGGAGCAGAGACAAGACATCCCCTCTGTGCTCTGTCTAAATTCTTGAGCCACAGAGCCTTGAGCGTAATAAAATACTTACTGCCTTATGACGCTAAACTTTGGGGTGCTTTGTTTTGCACTAATAAATAGAACAGAATTTGGTGCCTGGAAGCAACTTGCTGCCAAAACAAAACTTAAAATATGTAGTGTTGATTGTGGACCAGGTATTGCTGGAAGCATATTGGACCTTATGGAGGCTGTTTGTAAGGGTTTGAGGAAAGTGGGAAATGACTATTGAATTTAGGGGAAAAGGGGACTCATTAAGTAGTGGAGGGCGTTGTCACTTGTGATGTAGAAAGTAAGAAAAGTACCTAATAAATTTGTTCACTGAGCTATTTCTGAGCACAATGTTGATGATGCCATACGGCTTATTCTGTTTTTCCTATAACAGCATAAAAGAAGAGAGAAATTAACTAATGAACAAAAGTTCATATTTTAAGTAGAATTTAGAGAAAATATATAAAGCACTCAGAATGGTCAGCCATTAAAGAGTTCTCAAAGTAAGAAAGGGCGTTAGGATTCTTAATTGGCATTAATGAGAGGATTAAAGACTACATAGAGCTCACCAGTTGATTATAATTAATTTACTGAGTGGTAATCATTAATGTTAATACTCTGTTTCACATGATACTATATCTGGTTTTACCTACTATTTAAAAAAAATTCTTATGTTCCTTTTATACTTAGAAAATTTTTTCCCATGTAGAAAGCTGAAAACTATTATGCTTATTTTCTTTTCAATCTTCAGGTGTTCTAACATTCATTTGTTCCTCCATGTAGAATTAATTTTGGATTGAACTCTGATTTGGAATTTGTTTTCTTCTAGTCAAAATATTTTATTCTCTTGCATCTTTGATTATTGCTCTTGTTCCATTTTCATATACAGAACTTATCTATAGATGGGGGTCTCTTTTCTATTGTCTATATCCATGATTTTCATTAAACAGGAAGTAATAAAACATTCAATTTATTTTCTGTACTGATCATTATCACAATTTCTTCCTAATGAAATTGCCTGATTTAGTTATGTTAATGGGTTTTATATTACTTTATTTTTTTTACTCCGTTCCTTATCATCCCTTCTCTTCAGCCTGTTTTGAAATTACAAATAAGATGCTTTCTAAAATTTACTGTTTCCTATATTTCATTATTTCTAGACTATGAATTCTGTCTTTATTTTGAATGCTACACTAGATAGTTAAATAAACAGGGAGTATAACCTAGCTGCCTTAAAAGAACCAGACAAGCAAGGAGTCAGGAGCATCAGTGTTAGTAGCTATGGGATTATTTCCAGAAGTCCAGGGAAAATAATACCTTTTTGTACTTTGATATGTTGAACATAAAGCAAAACAATGAGGTATGCAAACCTCGGATAATTTTGGTATCAAATTGGAAATTATTTTCTGATTAAAAATGTTGGTCAGTAGATAAACGTCAATTTGAAAAGAGTAAAATAGGAATAATAAATGATTATGTTGATAGCCTACTTTATGTGAGCTAGACAAAGGGGATAGAATTGTGAACAAGATTTGTTCTTTGACTTCAAGGTTCATACTCCCTTTTTGGAGAAAATAGTCAATTAAATCAGCAAGTACAATGAAGAATAATAAATAACACCAAAATGATAATAACAGGATACTTAGGGGCCGTATGTGACAGACATTTAGTGCCATTTAAGTAGCATTAGGACAGATGTGAGCTCTGAGAGATATAGCATTCTGTCAATAGTGCTAGAATAGTCAACACCTTTATGACTGACTGATGAAAACACAAAAACATGCCTATCAAACTATGAGTAACTCAAAATTGAAAATTTCATTTTGTTAAATTAACACTTCAGTATGACATCACTACTTTAAAATAGATGGTCAAACACAAAATGAATTTGAACAGACAAAAATCAAAGAACTACATTCATATTTAAGAAAACTAAAGTAATTTAAAAGTGGACAGTGAAAATTTTGTTTAACAAGTAGAAACAGAAGAAGATGACAAGAAGAAGAGAAAGAGGAGGAGGACATTTGATGACGAACAGAAACATGCAGATAACTAGCATATATTGAATACTCAACCTCAATCAAGGTACTATATTAGGCATTTTTACTCATGCTATCTTTAATCTTCATATTACCACAAATGGTGCATATTCTTAATCAACATTTTATAGAATTAATTTCTCCATGGCCATTGTACTGATGGCAGTGAACCCAATATTTGAATCCAAAACTAATATTGAGGGGTCTAAATTGGTAGTACTGGTTTAGATGAAATTTATTATAATAAATATTTATTTTATAGTAAATTAAATATTTATTTTATAGTTTGGTTACATTTTAAATGTATAAATTGTATAAGGTGAAAGATACTGTAAGGAAAATGTTTATGTGTATTAATGCAATATGCTTAATTAATATAAATATAACAGGCATTAAGTAATATTTATCACAATCAAAACGGTATTGAGAAAAGCTGTCAAAATACAGAGAACAAGGCTGCCTATTACTAACGGATGAGTGAGCCAATGTACTTCAACTTGCAACAACTCAAGGAAAGGGCTAGGAGATGATTAAGAGCCTCTTGTGCACTGGAGAAAGCATGTGATCAAAAGGGACACTAATGTGTCTATAAAAGGAACTGTGGAGGACTTTCCTGTGGGTTACTTTTTAGGTACACTTCAAGAATGTTTCTCATTTAAGAATAGTGTCAATAAGTCAAGTGCTCAATGAGCCCAAATCCTACTGATTGGAATCACTGCATAAAAATATCCTTTGCTTAGAAATAGGGGTACTCATTCTCATGATGGCTTTTTTCAGTTGGCTTTGATGCTACCAATTTGGCAGGCTTTAAGCTTGTTTTTCCTGCCCCTAACTGGGACAAAGTGAGCTGACAGGGAATGAGACAACTGAGTGTTTGAAAGAACCGAAAGGAGTAAACCCCGAGAAAATGAGCCTTGGGAGTGAAAATTGTTTTTGAACATGTAGGACTGAGTATAGCATATGCATTTTTCTTCCTCCAGAAGGTTGAGCCAGACACAATGTGCAAGATTTCAACTAAGATGGGAAATAATTTTTGAATAATTGTAGGAGTTCAGTGATAGAAATGCTGCATTGAGAATTATGTTTTATCCATCACTGATGGAATTAAATTAAATTAAATGGTGCTTGGTCAGGAGTGCTTTGTAGAAAATTTCTCCCTAGAGAAAAGCATATAGCAAATGATGTTAAAGTCCCTCTCAGCATTAAATTCTTTGATACTAACCATTATGAAAAAAGCAATAAACGGTTAAACAAATAATAATTAGATATTCAACAATGTGGATAGATAGAAAATTACCATTTAGTTAAATATGCTCTCTCTAATGAAATCCCTTTTTTTATACAAATATATTGCCAAGGGACCTTGTAACATTATTTGTAACAAAGATACAGATCCTCCTTTAGTTACGATTCAGTAGAGAACTATTAAGTAGAAAGAACTGAAGAGTGTGTCTGTAACTATAGGGATAATTGAGGAAAAGAAAAGATCAATATACAAGATGAAACAAATTACCAATCACCTCAGGAAAATATGTGCACAGGCAACAAAATTAATGGTTATTTATTAATTTAATTTAATTTAATTTTATTTTATTTTGTGGTATGCAGGCCTCTCACTGTTGTGGCCTCTCCCATTGTGGAGCACAGGCTCCGGATGCACAGGCTCAGCGGCCATGGCTCACGGGCCCAGCCGCTCCGCGGCATGTGGGATCTTCCCAGATCGGGGCATGAACCCGTGTCCCCTGCATTGGCAGGCGGACTCTCAACCACTGAGCCACCAGGGAAGCCCTAATGGTTATTTATTAATAATTGCATTAAACAATTATTCTAGAGGTGTATTCCAACTTTAATGTATAAAATTAATTTAATATGGTCCCAACTCCCACTTCACAAAACATCTTTAACTTCTCCATATGAATCATATGGTTTCTATTAAATCTGTGTCTATTGTTGTTTATCATTCCAATAAATTGGGGCTTGTGATGGGGATACGAGTAGGTAGGGAATTCAGAATTAACTTGAGGCAACCTTAGTCATGATTATCAATGATGTTAAATAAGTTCAAAAACTGAAATACATGATATGTTCAAACAAATTCAAATTATAAGCTGTCTCTCTCTGGGAGCACTGAAACAGTGGTTGAAACTATTTCAAATTCACTTAATAAGCAATTTATTTAACACCATTTCTTTAATTTTACTAGGATATACATTCATGTGTAAAAGAGAATATAGTAAAAAAATAATCCTTCAGTGTTATTGGATTATTGTGAAAGATGTCTTATGTATATACTTAGAAATATAGAAAATAATTTTGATTTTTTTCAATTAAAATACTTTTGTGATAAGTGGAATTCTAAAATGACTTACAGTGACTTAGTCCCTTATATATTCCCCTCTCCTTGAGGGTGGGCAGAATATGGAATATGATTGAATATCATTCATATGATCATTTTATATTATAGGGTGATGGTTTGCAGATGTAATTAAGATTCCTGATCAGTTTGACTTTGAGTTAATTAAAAGAGAGAACATCCTGGGTGGGCCCCGCCTAACCAGGTGACACTCCCCTGCTGGCCTGGAAGAAGTGAATTGCCATGTTGTGAACTGCCTATGAAAGCCACATGGCAAGGAAATCTGGGTGGCTTCTAGAAATTGAGAGCTGACGACAAGAAATAGAATAGAACCCTTGGTCATATTCCATAAGGAAATGAAATCTGCCAACACCAGTGAATTTGAATGAGGACTTTGAGTCTCAGATAAAATTGTAGCCCCAGCCAATACCTTGATTTTAGGCTTGTGAGACCCTGAGAAGTTCATAACTATAATTTGAATTCTTTATCTTCTTAAAACTCTATTTTTCAGAGAGTAACTCTTTATATTCACTACTCTATTACTTGACGTATTAGTTATGAAGAAATCTTTTGATTCTTAACCATTAAAGATGAGAAAATCAGCCTTGCCACACAATCTTCCAACTTTCCCTTTGGCCTTTCAAAATAGGTGGTCAATGTCTTTTCTATGATAAGAGTTTATTTTTTTATATAGCTCTCACATTTGTTTTGGTCTTAGTTCTACCATCAAATGTATTCACGGCTCACTCCTAATCCTTTAACTGTACATTTTCTAGTCACCTTTCAGTTAGGTAAATCTCTTCCAGCAGATTATTTAAGAAGGGCATGTGGTAATAATATTCTCACTGTTATTATATATAGTAAAATATTATTGACTTATTTGAAAAAGAGTTGGCTGTGTATAAACTTGTTGGCCTCAGTTTCTTTCCTAGGAAAGAGGGTATAGTGAAGTTTAGTAGAAAAACATGTAGTAAGCAAAATCATGAAGCTGTGTGGTATGGATGGTATGCTTAAGAACCAACATGCAACGTATAGAAGAGAGTCATGGAATACAGGTAGGAGTGTAGGAGGACAGGGGAAGTGGTATCGAGGACCTTTGTCAAAGTGATGGAAAACAAGAATAAAAATTCTAACTTAACTCAGAAAAACAAGGGAGGCTTTGAAGTTTTGTTAATAGGGGAAATGATTATAATAACCAACCGCCAAGATAGCCCACAGTGATTCCACTTACTGGTATTTGCACACTTTTGTAGTACCCTTCCACGTTGTATGAGTTTGTCTGTGTGACCAACAGAGTAAGTCAGATGGATGTACGCCACTTTGGATTAAGTTATATAAAGCATACTGTGTTTTCCATCTTATTCTCTCTTTCTCTCTCTTTCTCTGTCTTCCTTTCCTATCATTCATTCTTGGGGAAGCCATTTCAGGAGTAGCTCTATAAAGATGATGAAGGACTGAAGCTTCCTGCCAATAACTACGTGAGTAAGCTTAGAAGGAGAACTTCCAGTCACAGTCAAATCTTCAGTTATTATAGCCCCACTGAACAGTTTGACTGCAGCCTCATGAGAGACCTTGAATATAACCACACAGCAAAAATCCTCACAGATACCTGACCTTCAGAAGATGTGTGAATAATAAATTTTTGTTGTGTTTAAAGTGAAGTTTGGGTACTATTACTTATGCAACAATAGATAACCTACTACAATTATGCATGGACTTTGTGACAATATTATTTATACAGCAGTAAAATTCTGAGCAAATTAGAAGAGAAAGATATAAGAGGTGAGAGGACAAATTTTAGTAACTTACCACATACTGAGCCTCCTGCCATGTGCTTTGTATGCATTTCCTCATTAAATGACCAGGTATACTTTGAAGAGAGGTATTATTTGTATTCTTATTTTATAGAAACTTAAATAATTAAGCAACTTGTGCAAGATCATACAGCTACTAAGTGATGAGCCAAAATTCAAACTCTTACTTGTTTATATAAATGTGTTGGTTGAATTAATGAATAAACGTATGGGAGGACATTTTATGAGTTACTGTAATGTGCTACTAATACTTTTCCCTTGATTTCAAGAAAATCTGGAAAGATTCTGAATTAATCCTAAGAACATTTTCATTGTAATTCCCAAATAAGTGTAATCAAAGAAAAAATTTCCAAGAAAATTCATAGCTTGGCATACTTCCCTGGTCCAGATATAGTTAAAAATTTCATAGTGCAAATCTTTGCAAAAACTCTAAACTACCCTGTCTGGCTTTTTATGTATGAGCGATTTCTAGGAAGTGCTTGCTTTCAACTTCTTTTGAAGTTTCAAGCAAAATAAAAACCATAGAAAAAATACTCCAGGAAAAAATTTGAACTCCTGAAATGGGATTCGCTTCAACACAGTTAAATAAAAAGTTTTCACATGAGATCCAAGCAAGGGTGGAATGAACACTCAAATAGAGGGAAAAGGGGTGGGGGAAGGAGAAGTAGCAAAGTAAAAGCAATATTCACAAAACTCAATTTATAAAACAAACATGCAGCTAAAAATACTGAGATCAACATTAATACCTAGTGTAAAACCCCAACAGATTGTCTTAAAGCTGTATTTTAAGAAGCAATAGAGCATAGATGCCAGCCAGAACTAGCCTGTCTGGATTTACATCATAACTCTGCTTTTTATGGACCACATAACCTTGGGAAGTTACTTACGTAACTTCCTCATCTTGCGTACCTCATTGAAAAGGGGATGATAATTGTGCTTATTAACCCTAGGACTGTTGTGAAAATTAAATGAGTCAAAATATGCATAAAATTTTGAAGGATGACTAGCACAGATTAACTGCTACATATCCATCCTGAGAGGTATATAAAGTTGGGGGGT